GTCGCCGCCGCCGCCCAGTCTGGAATGCTGGCTGTTCGTGACGTGGGTGAGAGCGGGGGGGGGAGAGGTGGGGGAGGAGCGCTGCCAACTCACTCAGCCCGCGGCCGGGACTGGAGCTAATCAAGTGGCTGCACCCCTGAGAGGTCACGTGATGGGACGACGCCGCCCGCCTCTCGCGAATGCCAGGCGAGCCGGGGCACCGCGGCGGCGGGCGGCGATGCCCTACAGAGACGGCAGGGTCAGCTGTGGGGTCAGTCTCAATGGCGGCGGGCGGCGGAACTCTGCAGAGACGGCAGGGTTAGCTACGGAGGTCACAGGGCCGCACGGAGGTCAGTCTCAGCGGCGACGGGCGGCGATGCCCTGCAGAGACGGCGGGGTCAGCTGTATAGGTCATAGGGCCGAACGGAGGTCAGTCTCAGTGGCGGTGGGCGGCAGTGTTTTACAGAGACGGTGGGGTCAGCTGTGGAGGTCATAGGGCCAAACGGAGGTCAGTCTCAGTGGCGGCGGGCGGTGGTACTCTGCAGAGATGGCGGGTCAGCTGTGGAGGTCAGCCTCAGTGGCAGCCGGCGGTGGTACTCTACAGAGACGGCGGGGTCAGCTGTGGAGGTCATAGGGCCGGACGAAGGTCAGTCCAGTCGGCGGCGGTGGTACTCTACAGAGATGGCGGGTCAGCTGTGGGGTCATAGGGCCGGACGGAGGTCAGCCTCAGCGGCGGCGGGCGGCGGACTCTGCAGACGGCGGGGTCACTGTGGAGGTCATGGGGCCGGACGTCAGTCTCAGCGGCGGCGGGCGGTGGTACTCTACAGAGATGGCGGGTCAGCTGTGGAGGTCATGGGGCCGGACGGAGGTCAGTCTCAGCGGGGGCGACAGCCAACACAGACAGGCGGGGCTGACCCCGTGCTGGACTGGCTCCTCCTCAGACGGATGGCGGCATTAAGAAAGAGTGGGGTAGGAACTGGTGAGCGAAGTTACCCTGCCCAGACCTAGACAAACAAGTGGTAGCACGCTAAGCGCCCGTGTGCTGAAGCTACATGAGGAACAGTCCAGAAAAGCCGCAGTGGGTCACAATTTATGAACACATAGCGTATACTATATGGATTTGGATTGGATTGGATTGATATGGATTTTGCAAGCAAGGATGGGCAACACCTACTGCCCTTCTAAACATTCAGTGCAAGCATGAGTACTATTGTATTTCAAATGTGGCATCATATCTTCCTGCTTCATTGCCCCTAAATTTTGTCAAAATGCCGTGCGTTAATGACCTAACGAGCAATACATCAGCCGAGGACAAAAAAAAACACGCATCTCGGAATGAACCGACTGCGGTTCGTCTTCGTGGGACAGCTCCTGATAGCAGAGCTGCCACGTGACCGTGTGACCTTTGCCCCGTGGGCAAATTGCTGATTTAATACGGCGTGCGGAGATCAGCGCTTCGAGAGCACAGCGAGTGATGCATCACCTACGGACTAATCAGCGTCGCGTGGTAACGGACCTTGTCTCCTCGCGGCGCATCCGCAGCCTGATAACCGGCATTATGTGGCGGTCACGAAGCTGGGCCACACCGGCTGCATCCGACCCTGGCTCGCCATGCCCAAGTTCCATTGTAATTCCAGGTTCGTCGGAAACGTCCCTCTGGGAGGATTCCTAACACAGGGCTCCTGGCGGAACGTGGATTGATTAAGTTATGGAAATCGGACGAGGCGGAAACAAACTAATAAATTACCTCTGACAGGGGCTTATGAAGTACTGCTCGGGGCAAAGCCAGGCGTCGGAAAATGTTCCGCCTGTGGTAAAGGATGGGCGTGTGGCGAAAGTTCCCCGATAGCACGTTGGAGAAGCCTAAGTGGTGGATGATGGCTATATGCCCATTTTGCCATATATGTGGACTTAACTGTTGCCCCTTCGTGAGAGGTGAATACATGACTCCTTATCACGTTTGTATTTGTTAACGCAGGAAAGCCATTGCAATAGCTGGATAGAAGGTTGATTCGGCATCTACACCGGCAACAAATGGATGAAATGGTCACGGATGCACGCACAGATACAGACAATGCATCAAGTCACAGTCAGCTAAATTATCTTACATCTCTAAACATCTGTGTGCACGTACGCGTGCTGCCCGCCCATGTGCAGTTAACGAAACGTAAGGCCGTGTGCCTGCGCGCGTTCGTGTCATCGAGTCGTACACTGTGGCGCCGACATGTCGTTTGTCTGGACGGCGTGACCTAAGCCGATGCTTGCGGCCATTGGTCGAACTATTCAATCTGACCAGTTCGGCTTGATGTGGCGCGCGAAGGTTATCGGTCCGCGAACCAATGGCCTGCATCAAACTCGCTTCAGAGAAACAGTAGAAGCAGTTAAGGTCGGCAGGTCAACTGCCTGGAATCAATGTCACTGGCAGGGTTCCAGAAGGATGCGTCATGGGCGACCAATGCTGCAAACAATATATTTCACTTGCCGTTTGGCGCTACCCGCTTAGGGGACGATCCGGACGATGATTTGTGGCTGCCTCACAAAGTGCTGCAACTAAGTCCCGAGACGGTTCTGGGCCAGTCACATGCAACAGAAAAACTCTGCAACACTGTGCCAGTCAAAGAGTATGATGTTTGCAGTGAACCGGGCCAACTCTGCAGGTATCGGTAAGTCGTTTGCTTGTTGGACGAAAACTGAATGTCGGCCAGCCTGGTGTATAGCTAAGGAGGCAATCGCACGGCACGAAACTTATGGCCGCCTTTGCATGGCTTCGCTCGCCTCAAACAGCAGTCCCCGGAGATGTTCAGTGAATGGAATCCATGCGAATGAGAGAATGCAGCTAGTTGCAGCTAGTTTCAGCTAGCGTGCGTGTAGTTTGAGGATATACGCTTTCCCGAATAGTTGATAATGTGATTCGCGGGCTTCATCGTTGCCGACTGGCCACATTTCACCTACCCTCGGATTTCAAAAGCACGCAAATGCAATGAAACTTGATCTCGGTAATGCTTGATCGTGAGCAAAATACGTCGTCACTTTCGTACCATTTGTGAACAAGCGCATCACAAGCCTGTCAATCACAGTTCACCAACGTAACACAGGAGCCATTCGATAAGGTAATGAAACAGTAGAGGAATGGTGGTCGGTCTGCCTAACGCTTGTAACGAGACTGAGCCGCATTGGCACAATAAGCGAAGCGAATCCCTGCTCTAGCACAGATCGCCGAAATCAGTTCCTCGTCACCCGTACGTCGGACGTTGCAGAATTGTGCACCTGCATCCTCAGCAACGATGCAGGGTTTCGCTGCAGTGATGCAGCGGTTCCTCCGCCGGGCGCCGCTTTCATGTGGCTGTAAGGTGTTCTATACCGCTCTGGTTGTGATTTACCGAGCTGTTTTCTGCAGCGGGGCCGTCGGAAGCGACCAGCGGCCTCAGCCGCTGCACAAGCGGCTGCACTCTGCAGCAGTTTTCATCGGTCATATGACACCGCTGTCTCCTCCAGGCTGAGTGTTTTATTCCACCCGAAGTCTCAGGGCGACAGGCGGGGCTGAGCCATTAGATGCAGTCACGACTGAGGGACTTTATGGCAACAATGTCTGGTCAGCTTGTGAGTCGATGATAATCTTGAGCGCGCAGCCTTGCACAGCGTGAACACCCACCGGGAGAAGCGATAACCTGGGGCAAAACTAGGGACAATTATTGTCCGGGTAAATTATGCAGCGATTTGCTAGTGAAGGATTCTGAGCTAACCAATCAGCAGTTCAATCATCCCTTAATTATTTGAGGACGAAAAGCGGCTCAATCACCAAGGCTTTTGTGAACGTTAACTTTTTGCGAGGGCCTGGAAGAGCCGTCATGAGCCCTCGGCTTTCCTTTTTGCCAGCGCGTCCCGGCGCCTTCAATAGACCTGTGTCCATTTCGGCGCTAAACGGCGTACTTCTGCCAATACCTGCCGTGCCCTCCGGCCGAGTTTTTGCCCTCTCTGTCGGCGCTCCTGCCCATAACCTTCGCTTGGCGAACGT